GTTTTATATAACGTAAATATTCATTAAAATTAAAAAAAAGAAGAATAGTTGGTTATTCAATATAAATGTACTCGTCTTTCCTCACATCTGATCTTGAGATATATTCTCTCTCAATGAGAGATTCAATAGTTCTCCTTACTAAAGGAATTGGAGTCCTAAACCTACTTGATAATGAGGTAACTACAGCCTGCATTAAGTCGTTGTGTTGCATTTTTCTATTCTTTTTCATTAGTCTAACTATACAAGCCTCAATTAATCCTACTCTTTCTGCAGTAATTTCTCTTTCTTCTTCTTTTTTTTCTTGTTTAAAAACTACAGCTTTTGGAATAGGAAGAACGAATTTAGTTTTAGCATATTTAAATGAGTTATTGATTTTAACAATATTTCCATCTTCAACAGAGATTAAATCAACTGACTGTAAAGAAGAAATAATACTTTTTATAATATCCATTGTTAAATGAATAGTATTAAATATTTCATCAATAGTAATTTCATTTTTTTGATTAAATAATACAAGAATACTTAATTGATAAGCGCTACCAAATAAGTTGTATGGTTTATTAAAACAATTAGTTTTTATTTTACCACGAGTATATTGATGAAGCCATTGTAATTTTCTTCTTTGATGTTGTTTAATATACCATTTTTCAAAGAAAATATGAGATGTTTTTAATTCATCAGGTAATTCAAACATAAATTGTTGCGGTTCTAATGGCCAAATTGAAGTTTGAAGGACATTAACAAAGAAAGGGAAAGGTACATTAACAGTAGCTAAAAATTGATTAGAAAGAGATTGTGATAATTGAAGGTCAGACATCATTTTTTGTATTTTATATGAAAAGGTAGAAGAAAATTTAACTCTATGTCTATCGAAAACAATATTTTCTTGAGATAGATCATCGTTATTTCCACGAAGTAACATTCTTTTAGCAATAGTTTTGATATAATAATTTTCAAATATATCTTTATTTTCAATAAAATCATAAATACAGAAGATTTGATCTAATTTATTATTTAATTCATCTACACCAACACATTTCTTTACAACAACGTCAGAATATTTAGCTAAATATTCTGGAATTAATATTTCCATTTCTTCGCCATTTGCAATTTTAACATTACTATTAATTATTTCTCTAAATGCTCTTCCAAAACCTGCATTAAATGATGGATGATTTCTAAAACATTCTTGAATTAAATTAGTAATATCTTCATAATATTCAATAATGACTTTAATAATTTCAAATGCTTGTTGAATTGACATAATGTATTTTACTTTTTCCATTCCAATTTGTTTACAATATATTTCAAATACTGGAATAGCTGAATCAATTTGTTCTCCATCTTTTAAAACTGTAAAACATTTTTTTAAATCATCTTTTTCTCTTGTTTTTAATAAACTTTCCATTTTTTCAATAATAAATTTACATTGTTCTGAAATAAATTGTTTTTGTAAAAATTCTCCAAATTCTCTTTGCAAATTTGCAGCAACATAAAGTTGAGACCTTTGTCTTTCTAATTCAATAATTTCAATAGTTTTTTCTAAAAATTCAGTAATACCATAATTTTTAAAATAATTATTTAAATCTTTATAATATGATTGAGCTGCTTTAATATATTCTGATTGATAATATGTATCATAAACATTTAAATTCATTAATGAAACAGTAACTATTTCTGAATTAGAAAATGACAAAAATAATAACATTATTCCATTAATTAATTCTCTATTTTGTGTGTTATTATCAATTCTTTCTGCTAATAATAAATTCATTGTATTTTCAACAATATTTGTAGCATTAGCTCTAAGAAAGTCACACCAAAATAATGACATACAATGTTTAAATACTGGATCAGAATATTCTCCATTAATGGCTTTTTGTTGTTTAATAAAAAAACGATCTAAATAAGAAAATACATGTGAGATTTTTTGACATGCAATAAAATATAATTTGTAATTTGTAATATAAAAACGTAAAAAATCTAATGTTGAATTTATTTGTTGTGTTTGTTTTAAAAGTACTTTTAGTTTCATTATACATTTTTGATGAATTAATTGAAATAATTTTTGTGCATTTCCTTGTGTTTGTTGTGAATATAATATGCATGTAGAATACATTCCCATGTGTGTTTTTGAGTCATATGGTTGATTTGATAAAACAGTGTCACAAAATGAAGATAACGTTTGAAACATTTGAGAAGGTGTTTGTAAATTCATAACTAAAAAAGTAATTTATTTTTTTAGTTCTTAACCAGAAAAAACTTTTTTTAAAAAAAAAAACAGAATAATATTCTTTTTAGTTATTTCATTGTTATTTGTATTGTTATTCTTATTTTCTTAATAACAAAATCATAACAAAAAGTTGATTTTATAGGTAAAGAGAAAATTGATGTAAAAATATTTTTAATTGGTTGTTGATTCGAAAAATATTTATTAATTTTTAATTTGTATCTTATTCTAAACTTAGAATGAGAATGGAATTATAGAAAAAAGGTTGTTAGGAAATTATTATTTAAAAGATAAGCCAAAGTAGTAAAAATTGTTATTAGTAGTTTAAAGGTATATGAGATTTGGTGTTACAATTATGTTATTCTAAATGAATACAACTTATGTAACAAATAAATATCACCAAGTCAAATAATAACTTATTTAACAAATGTCTTGTATTTCTTTATAGAGTAAATTTATTTTAAAATTCATAATTTTATTATTTTCAATTACTACAAAATATCTATAGATAATTATAGTTATTTACCTACTTATTGATGATAATAAGATTTGATTCCCATTGTTAATAAAACATTTTATTTTATTGGGTTTGTAACATATAATTAACAAAGAGCATTGAATAATAGATATGTATAAATGATACTTACTAATGAATTTTTTTTTATTTGATGATAACGATATACGATAATGTATAATTCAACAAAGTATTATCATTTTAAATAATTTTTATACAAAAATTTACTTCATTAAAAAATTTCTTTGGGAAAGAAAGAATATTAAATGAACATTTATAGATAATATGAATTGTATATTGTATAAGAGATAAAAGTTAATATTAAATGTGAAATTAATAATATTAAAATCAAATGACATGAACAAATAAAAGAATATATGATAGAATTAGTGATAGAATAATAAACTCATAAATTATATGTTTTATTTGTATTGTCTTAATTATAAGGAAATATTATGAATCATTTTTGTTTATACACAAACATATTATAACAATTAAAAATATACTGAACAAATAAAATAAATACTTCATTTTGAAAAATAGTAAATTTTAATAATTTATCCTCCTTGTTGATTTTTTAAATAAACAAGAAAGAATAAAAATCATTTTATTAAATATAACGAATTTAAATAACATCATATTTATTAATTTTAGAATCTCCAATAATCAGATATTAATGTATTTGTTCCAATTATCAATATTAGAATTAACTATTTTTTCACGTCCTCTATTTATTTTTCTTCTCTCTTTTTGTAACTTCTTCTTTTCATCTTGAAGAATCACTGTACTATATCTCCATTTATTTTATTAAATCATTTCTCTATTTTTCCTATTTTTGTAGATATTCTAATGAATTTATTTTTCATATTCTTTTTTCTATTATCTTTGCTTTTATTCTGAACACCTTCTATTTTATTCAGTATTTCTTAACTTTTTTCTCATACCCTCTTCGGGTTATATATGTTCATTTCTCTAATCCAACAACTTTTCCTCATTAAATAAAAAAGGTAAAGTTATTTATAGAAAGGCTAAGATGAATTATTTTTTGTGATAACTCTTTTTAATTTCTTTCTCTTTAAAACATGCTCTTGAATAGATGGGAAGAGCTGTGGTGGGAATTGAGATAAGACCAGTTTTATATGTAGTTTTTTTACTTGATGTATACACAAAGACTGTAAAGATAAAGTTGGGTTTGTATTTACTAAAAACATGAAACAATTGTAGATGAATTGAGAATCCACCTTTGTTTGAAGCGTATTGAATTCTGGCATTGTCGAGATATAAACAGCAGAGTATGTCTTAGTCGAATAATACACAATTACAGCAGTCCCTTGTTCATTTCGTGCTAAAACAGTAACATCTTTTCCACCAATGAATCTACCTTCGTCATTGAACCAACTCAACGAAAAAGGTACTTGACTATGACAATATCCATCACTCACATAAGGTAATTCAAGATTATTCCAAAGAATACTCTTTCCTGGATTTATTGGACAATAAGATATTGACTGCTCAAGATTTATAGTTCCAAACTTCATTGAAGGATTAATACCAAAAAGATGACAAATTTTTCTATTGTCATATCCATTTGTTCTTTGTTCAAGGTGTTGAAATAGAGCATAAGTCCCTAATAAATGTTTACAACCACTGTTTTTTAAAAAAGTTTCTAACGCAATGACTTCATTAGCTGAGAATGAAGAAGGAGATCCAGCTGTATCACTACAAACAATAATATCAGGATTTTGTTTTTGTAATTCCTTGAGTGTAATTTCTTTTTTTATGAATTTTACAGACAACTTAATTTTTGTTTCCCCGTATTTTTTCCAGTTTTTATTCAAATCCTTCCAAAAAGACTTTCCTCCAATGTGTGAGTGAATGACAGTTACTTTAATTGACTGATTTTTAGTTTTTGAATGAATCATTTTTTTTTTCTCTCTAATAACATTTTTTCTTTTAAATTCTTGCCTTTTCATTTATGATTATCTCTTTACATAATGAAAGAAGTAAGTGAATGAAGATTGTTGTTAAAAGAAACCGAAAGACAAGAACGTTACAATCATTTATTTCTTTTTGAAGACAAAAAATCCCAAATAAATGACAACTCCAATAATAATAAGGAATACAATTGCCATAATAATCAAAAAGATTTTATTAGTAATTGCCCTATAAAGCATTCTTTTTAATGTCTTATTTGATTCATCAAGATGACCATCAATTCTATCTAACTTTCGGTTATCATCTTCCAAAACTTCTCGTTGTCTTTTTAATTCCTGTACAGAGTCCATTTCTGTGGAAATAGTATCTTCTAAAATAGCATTAGACATTTCAATATCAAAAGTTGCATCTTCTAATTTTTGGGTTGCATTTAACATTCTGTCTTGATGAGAATTATCATAAAAGCTCATTTTGGTTTTACTCGACGAAATTTATTATTTAAAGTTCTATTAAATATTAAGTTTTTTCGGAATTAATTTGTCCAACAAAAAATAACAAAAATAAACTGAAGGAAGTTATTTTATTTGTTTCGGTGAGCCATTTTATGCTAATAAAGATTTCTTTAATGAAGTCT